AAACAGACCAAGATAAACCCATTCCAACTAATGAATGCAATCATTTTAAGGCTTCAAAGCAATGTAATGGGGAATCATGATTACCATAAACTCTTACGTACTCTTACCATTTCTTACACTAGGGAGACTATACAATACTTATACATGTGAGTTTCATTTATTTTGCTTATGAGTATGGTCTCAAGTTGTGTCCATTTATTTATAAATATCTCAATGTGATCATTCTTTATAGCTGAGTAGTATTCCATTGAATAAAAATACTACAACTTTTTGACCCATTCCTCAGTTGATGGACACTTAGGTTGTTTCCAAGATCTGGCTATTACAAATTGTGCTGCTATAAACATGGGTGCACATATATCACTGTGGTATGACGCTTTCATATTTCATAGGCATATTCTTCTGGGAATATGCCTAGAAGTGGAATAGCTGGGTCGAAGGGGACTTCCAATCCCAGCTTTTTGAAGAAACCAGACTCATCCCCTCAATGGTTGCACCAGTCTACACTCCCACCAACAGTGCAGGAGAGTTCCTTTTTTCCCACAGCCTCTCCAGCATTTGTTGTTAGTAGTTTTCTTGATTCTGGCCATTCTTTCAGGAGATGTAATCTCAGTGTTGTTTTAATTTGCATTTCTCTAATGACTAATGATGATGAATATTTTTTCATGTATTTATTTGCCATTTGTATTTCTTCATATGAGAACTGTGTATTCGTCTCAGATGCCATTTTTGAATTGGATCCTTGAATTTCTGGAGTCAGTTTTTTTTTTAATTCTTTGTATGTTTTAGACAGAAGGAAGTCCTTTGTCTGAGGGACAGTTCACTAAGATTGATCCCAGTTTGTGGTTTTCCTTTTCACTATGCTGGAGATTTCTTTTGATATGCAGAAACTTTTTAATAAAATGTAATCCCAGCTATTGATTCTGGGAAGTAGTTCCCGTGCGGTTTGATTCCTGTTCACGAATTCTCTACCTACCGCTATGTCGTCAAGATTTTTACCTACTTTGTCTTCCAACATATTTAGTGTTTCTGTTTTAATGTTCAGATCTTTGATCCATTTAGATTTTAGTTTAGTATATGGTGGTAGGCATGGGTCTAGTTTTAATTTTTGGCATATGGAGAGCCAGTTTTTCCAGCACCATTTATTAAAGAGACTATGATTCTTCCAGTAAACATGTTTGGCCTCTATCAAAGATAAAATATTAAGTGTGTTGGTAGTTGTGGTTGTATCTTTAATCTATTCTACTGATCTTCAGATCTATTTTTATTCCAGTACCATGTGGATTTTATACAGTAGCTTTGTAGTAGAACTTCAAGTGAAGGATTGCAATGCCTCCGGCCTTGCCTTTGCTGCTCAGAATTGCCTTTGCTATTCCAAGTCTCTTCTGGTTCCAGATGAATTTTAAGAGTGATTTCTCTAGATCTACGAGATATGTTGATGATATTTTTATTAGGATTGCATTGAATCTGTGTAACAGTTTTGGGAGAATAATCATTTTCACAATATTTATTCTTCCTATCCATGAACAAGGGATGTCTTCCCATTTTCTGAGATCGCCTTCAATTTGTTTTCAGAGTATCATAATTTTCCCTGTATAGATCTTTTACAACTTCTATGAGATTAATTCCGAAGTATTTCATTTTTTTGGATGCTAGTGTAAAGGGTGTGGCTTCTCATTTCTCTCTCCATGATTTTGCTGTTAGTGTATAGAAATGCTACTGATTTTTGAGTATTGATTTTGTATCCAGATCCACTGCTGAATTTATTTATTATATCTAGGAGTCTTTCAATGAGTTTTGGGGGTCTTCTATGTAGAGTATCATGTCATCTGCAAATAACAATTTAACTTCCTCTTTTCCTATCCCTTTTATTTCTCTCTCTTGTCTAATTGCTCTGGCTAGTATTTCCAGTAATATATTGAATAGGAGTGGTGATAAGGGACATCCTTGTCGTGTGTCTGATTTTAAGGTAAAGGCCTTCAGTTTTTGGCCATTTAACATGATGCTGGCTATTGGCCTGTCATAGATGGCCTTTATTATATTGAGGTAAAGACCACCTATTCCAATTTTCTGTAAGGTTCTTATCATTAATGAGTGTTGGACCTTATCAAAAGCATCTATGTATCTACAGAAATGATCATATGATTCTTAACTTTGGCTTTATTGATATGGTGGATTACATTTACCGACTTATGTATGTTGAACCATCCTTGCATGCCTGGGATGAATCCCACTTGGCTGTGATGTATAATCTCTTGATGATTTGCTGCATCCTGTTTGCCAATATTTTATTGAGGATTTTTGCATCTGTGTTCACTAGGGAGACTGGCCTGTAGTTCTCTTTTTCAGTTGGGTTCTCTTTCTCAGGTTTTGGTATGGTACTAGAGTAATATTTGCTTCAACGAATGACTTAGGAAGGATTGCTTCCCTTTCGATTTCATTAAAGAGTTTGAGGAGTGTCCGCATTGTCTTCTTTGTAGTTCTTATAGAATTCACACTGAATCTGACTGGGCCTGGGCTCTTCTTTGTAGGTAAAGACTTACGTACATTTTCAATTTCATTAATAGAAATTGGGTTATTCAGCAGTTTTACATCTTCTTGACTCAGCTTTGGTACTTCACATATCTAGGAATCTGTCCATTTCCGTGCTATCGAACCTATGAGAGTAGAGGTTTTCGAAATAGGTGTTGATATCTTCTGTATTTCCACAGAATCTGTAGTGATTTCACATTTTTCATTCCTTATTGTATGAATTTGAGCTTTTTCTTCCCTTTTTTAAAATAAGGTTGGCTAGGGGCTTATCAATTTTATTTATTCTTTCAAAGAACCAACTCTTTCATTCATTGATTCTTTGTTTTCTTAGTCTCTATTGCATTAATTTCTACTCTTGATTTTTATAATTTCCTCTTCTTTTGGCTTTGGGCTTGACTTGCTCTTCTTTTTCTAGATGTTTGAGGTGTAGCATCAGGTTGTTTATTTGTATTTGTTCTGTTTTCCTGATGTGCAATAAATTTTCCTTTGAGGACTGCTTTCATTGCATCCCACAGATTCTGCTAAGTTGTATTTATATTTTCATTTGCTTGTAGGTATTGTTTAATTTCTTCTTTAATTTCCCCTGTGACCAACTGATTGCTCAAGAGTATATTATTCAATTTCCATGTGTTAGTGGGAGTTTTTCCATTTATCATTAATTTCCTAATTTCCATTTATCATTAATTAATGATGCTATAATCTGATAACATGTATGGGATAATTTCACCTGTTGTGCAAAAATTTATTTAAGTATGTTCTGAGGGCTAGTATATGGTCTATTTTCGAGAATGTCCCATGTACTGCTGAGAAGAATGTTGTTGGATGGAATACTCTGTATATGTCAATCATGTCCATTTGTTCACATGTGTGATTCAGTTCTGTTATTTCTTTGCTGATTTTCTGTCTGGTTGATCTGTCTCTTGGTGTCAATGGTGTGTTAAGGTCTCCTGTTATAATTGTTATTGCTAATCTGATTTTTCATTTCTATTAATATTTGCTTTGTGTAACTGGGTGTTCTGGAATTTGGTATATATATATATATATATTAAGATTGTTATCTCTTCTTCTTGAAGTTTTCTCCTAACCAGTATGAAGTGACCTTCTTTATCTCTTAGGACCATTCTTGGTTTGAAGTTTACATTGTCTGCAAACAAAATAGCTACCCTCGCTTTTTTTTTTTTTTTTTGGTTCCTGTTGCATGAAGTATTGTTTTCCATTCTTTGACTTTCAGTCTGTGAGTATCCTTTTGGGTTAGATGGGTTTCTTGTAGACAGCATATGGTTGGATATTGTTTCTTGATCCATTCTGCCACTCTGTTTAATTGGTGAATTGAGACCATTTACATTAATGGTTATAACTGTTATATGTTGGTTTATTGTTGACATGTTATCTTTCTGCTGTTACATCTTTATCTGTCCATTCTGTTTGTCTGCCTTGCTTAGTGGTTTTATCCTAAGTGTATCTAAACTGTCTTTCAGTATTCTTTGCAGGGTTGGCTTGGTGATCGTGAAGTTCTTCAGCTGTTCTTTGTCATGGAAGTATCTCATTTCTCCATCGATTTTGAAGGACAGTTTTTCAGGGTATATCAATCTAGGTTGGAAATCATTTTCCTTTAGCATCTGAAATACTTCAACCCATGCTCTTCTTGACTTCATTGTTTGTGCTGAGAAGTCTGCTGAAGTTCTGGTAGGTTTTCCTTTATAGGTGATCTGTCTCTTCTAACAGATTTTAATATTCTATTCTTATGTTGGACTTCTGGGATAGTGATTATTATATGCCTGGGTGTAGTTTTATTTGGGTTATGGCTATTTGAATCCTAATGTCAGTTTCCATTCTCATGTTTGGGAAATTTTCAGCTATTACTTCTGTAAATAACCTCTTGATATCATTTGTGTTGTGCCCTTCTTTTTCATTTATCCCTATCAATCATATGTTGTTTTTCTTTGAATCATCTTGCAGCCGTTGAATTGTTATTTCCTGATTCCTTGTTATTTTTAAAAGATCTTTCCTTTCCTGTCAACTAGCTGCAATCTTGTCTTTGAGGTCTGAAATTCTATCTTCACTTTCATTCAGGCAGTTTTGACAACTTTCAATGGTATTTTTGATTTCCTGTATATCTCTTTGAATCTGCTTTATGTATTGTTTGTTTCTTATATTGTTCATCCAGGGATTCTATCTTTTTATTTTGCTCCTCTAATTTTTTAACTGTATCTTCTTTAGATATGTTCAGCATCTCTTCATTATTTTTATCATTTCTTCTTTTACCTGAGAGATTATTTCTAGCTTGAATTCCTTTAAAGCTTCCCAGAGTTGTTTATTTCAGTTACTATTATTTCAGGTATTTCAGGTGTATGGCATATATTTTCTTCTATGTACATGGCTTCTAGGCTTTCTTGGGATAGGCTGGATATTTCAGAATGCATTTTGGAATTTCGTTTTGTCATTTCCCTGTATTTTCATGTGTCAAGTGTTGTTCCAAAGCTTCCCCGGGCATATTGGAACTCATCTCCTATGTCCTGGCTCCTGAAACTCCTCTGGCAGTGCAGCTCCCTGGATTGAAATGTCACTGGGGCATGGCCCAGGCAGGCCCAAAAACCTCCTCTGGCAGCGCAGCTCCCCAGATTGAAAGAAGGCCACTGAATGTGGCCCAAGTAGGCCCAAAACCTGCAGAATCCAGTCCAACGTGGCTGCAAGCTGGGTGAGTCCCTGACCACTGAGAGCAAAGATCTCAAACTCTCCCAGGGCTCGATGGTATGCAGGGACCCAACTCCTCAGGCAGAGAAGTTCCCCGGATTGAAAGGTCACCAGGTGCAGCTCAGGCAGACCCTAAACCTTCTCCGAAAGCGCAGCTTCCTCCTCCCCATTTTACATGTATACAGAGACATGCACAAAAAAAATTCACTGAGCCAGTGCCACAGTCCACCACGCAGGGAGGCAGGGAGCATGCATGGCGCTGGGCACGCGCTCTGCCAAAACTTCCCACAGCTGTCCATTCTGCAACCCTCTCAGAGAGTATATGTTAAATGAAAAAATGAAATAAGGTCAGACAGAAAATTTAAATTTTCTTTTTTTAAAATTTTTTGGTACCAGGGATTGAACTCACAACTGCACGCGTGGAAGGCAAGTGCTTATGTAGCTGAGCTAAATCCCCAGCCCCAAACAAAAAATTTTAAAAAAAATTTTTTGAAAAATGGAAGAGGACAAGACTGGGAGCAGAATGCTTGCTTTGATGTCCTGTGGCTTGCTTAGCAAAGAACGTGGGAGACGCTCGAGCCCCAGAGGCGATGACCTTTGAGGATGTGGCTGTGAACTTCAGCAGTAAAGAGTGGACTTTGCTGAGTCCATCCCAAAACAAGCTCTACAGAGATTTGATGGGGGAAACTTTAAAAGCATGGTAACTATAGGAGGACTTGGGGATAACCAGGAAGTTGAAAAAGAATGCAAAATTTACTGGAGACACTTAAGAAATGACAAGGTAGGGAAATGCTATGGACATAAATATTGGAATCAGTGTAAAAAAGTGTTCATTTGTGCTCCAGAAGCTAATTGGGTGTGAAAGAAGCAGACACCTACCATGATATTCAGATCCATAAAAAACATCACAGTAGAGGGAAACCCTATGTATGTAAGCAAAGTGGGGATGCTTTCAGGACCCAAAGTGAAAGTGAAATACATGAAGAAACTCACACTTGGGATTAATCCTATGCAGTATGGGAATAGTCTCAGCACACATGATGATTGTTATATATCTGAAAGGGCTCACTGGGCAGAAATCCTACGTGGATTAGCAATGTGAGAAATATGTCAGTCCACACACTTTGTTAAATATATAGAAAAAGCCTCACTGGTCAGACTTTTTAGATATAAGTTTAGTTTACAAGTCCCAAGGAGACCTGATGAAATAATTAATACAAACTTTTGATGTCAATATTTCTTCACAAATTTTCCAGAAAATTTTCCAGATAAATCTGAGGTGGAGCTCTCCTCGAGTGCACAGGTTGTATGGTTTTCAGTTAATCACTTGTACCTATCTAGATTTTTAAATGTGACTTTGGGCTTCAACATACAACTTTTAATTAAACATGGTAAACTGCAATGTACTTTAAGTATGAGTAGTGTCTATGTACTTAATGTTTTGTCTTTAAAATTTGTTATATTTCTTGGTGAATTCTAATTTTGATGCTGCAGTTGTTTTAATCTTTTAATGCACATGCTTCATTTTCTGTGTCATAAACGATGTTTCTGAAGTTGAAGCTATGTTTTACATTAAGATATACATTTATAGACGTTGGAGCATGTATTTTTGACAAAGTTGTGTTCTTTTCACATTACCTGTACATTAATGAATGTTATGTTTTTGAAGTTGTGACAAGGTATCTGCTTATCTCCTAATATCACTGGATATTATAACATGTACATTATGTTGCCTGTTTTTCTTTCTCATTTGAGCAAATGTTGTCATGTATGTCAATCTTTGTTCTTCTAATCATCAGAATTTTACCTATTATGTTTATATTGCATCTTTACTTTGCTATTAAGTTTTCCAGGGCAGGTACCAAAAATAAACCATACCACTATGAATTTCTGATTGCCCCAGACCAATAGAACCATAACTTGTGTCCAAAAGCATATCACAAATTATATTAATGTCTCCAGAAATTATAAAATGTGGCATGTTTTATGAGTAACCATACTCTGAAAGGAATCTTTCTTAACTGTGGAGTTGTTTTGGGGGAAAAGGTTGCTATTGAATGTATCATGCAAATTCCTTTATCTTCTTCTTGATGCTGTGAAACCATTATATATTTTGTAATTATTATTGCTTATTCCTAAAACACTAAACTAATGGCATGAAGGGAAATCTAAGTTGTTTTGGTTTTGTTTTTTTTTTGTCTTTTTCCTTTTTATCGGTACCAGGGATTGAACTCACGACTGCCTGCTTGCTGCTGAGTTAAATCTCCAGCCCCGAAATCTAAGTTTTGAGCTGTCAGCACAGTGAAAAGTAAATTTGCTAAATTATACTTCAAAAAAAAAGAAAAAAGAAAAATGGAAGAGGATCAAGAGATAGGGAAAGGAGTGAAAAAATAACTAAGATATGTAGCTGTATCAATCCTCCATAGGAATAAAATCATTACATACTGCAAACGTACTAATAAAAATTAAAAATTTTTAAAAGAAAGCTAATTATCATATGGCTTCTCTTATATAAAAACCCAAATTATAAATTAAAGGTAAAATAAAGATAGAAACGGGGAAGCAGACTTTTGGAGATGGAAAAGGGATTATGAAAAAGGGAGGGGAAGGAAGGGGAGAAGGTAGAAAGTGGGACTCAAAGGACCTAAAAATGATCAAGAAATTATACACGGGAAAGTACATATATATCAATTCCCAAAAAGGAATATAAATATTTAGCAATTTAAAAGCAGGGATGTTAGGGATATAGCTGACCTCTCCAGAAAAAATAAAACAAAAAAAGACTAACCACGTAATAACTATTTTTTCCTTTCAGGACCAAAACTATAATTGTAGTCTCTTTCCTCTCTCTCTTTTAAATAGCAAGTAAAAACTATATATATTTATGGTATACAATATGTTGTCAGCATTTGTATACTGTAGAATCGCTAAATCAAGCTGTATGTGTGTAAGCACTGCCTCATGTTCTAATCACTTACTTACAGTAAGAACATAAACTGGTTATTCAAGTACACAACATACTGATGAACTTACTCAACTTGTCTAGCTGAAATTTTGTGCTCTTTAACCAACATATGTATCTCCAATCCCCATAATTTCTACTAATTACTACAGAGGTACCTCAGTTTATAAAAGCTTTCATTTGTAAACAAAAGCATTTGGCAAAATTTTGATTCTCTTTGCAAACTCTACATCAAGTAACAAACATGACCATAGCCTTCTTTCCCACACAGACACAAACGTGTCCATCTTTCCCAAAATCATGAAACAAATTAAGTTCGTAAACCAAGGTACCACTGTGTATCACTGTTTCTATGAATTGACTTTTTCAAATTCCTTATCTAAGTAAACCATGCATTTGTATTCCTAGATGCACCCTTTTTCTCTTTCAACATTCCAGTATAACTTCTAAAACATTCACAACTATACTGTTTTATAGAAGTAAATGCTTACGTGTTTCAATTCTATATACATATTAACATTAAAGAGATAAAAAAAATACATCTGGCAAGAATATTTTCTCCAACTACCTGCTTCCACAAGTGCCATCTACTTTTCTAGGCAGATAAATATAATTGTGTTAATCTCTATCACAAATGACCAAAAGACACTCCTTCAAAAATATTACCTAAATATTACAATTTTTAATTCAAAAATTATCACAATTTTCCACACTACCTATTCTGTTCTGCCATCTTGCAGTTTTCCTTTGTAATAAAAATAATGTCTACCTAGTTTTCTTTCATGATCTCACATCATATAGCTTTAAAGATATATTTAAAAATAAGAAAACTATGTCTATGCACTTACCTCAAGTACTGGTCCAGCTCCAAGAATGATTTGCTCTACTCCACTGGCAAATCCTTTCTGACTGAGGGCAGTAAGGTGGTGAATAAGGAAGTTTGTGCTCTGAGTCTTTCCAGAACCACTCTCTCCTGAAATCACAATGCATTGATTCTTTTTGCGTTGAAGCATTGCATGGTAAGCTACATCAGCCACAGCATATATATGAGGCTCAAGTTTTCCCAGCTGATGGTTATCATACATTTTGACATATTTGGGGTTATAAATAGGAAGAAATTTGAATGGGTTAATAACTATTAGAATACTGCCAACATAAGTATAAATTTTCTCATGCTTAAAACGATTTCGTAGGTTTTCTAAGAGTGTTTTCTCATTCAAATCGGGCAAGCTACATAAATCATCGAAGTCTTTCTGCTGAGGCTGTGGAAGAAAGCCCCGTTCCATCATCCTTCGACGTTCTTCTGTTACCCGTAGCCATGACTGAAGGCTCCCATAATGGATAGATCCATCAAGATTTTTTTCTCTCAGAAGAAAGCGATAGTCCTCTCCACTTGAACGATTTTCCAGAGCCATTCGTGGCCACAACATCATTCGCTGAACTGGACAGTCTGTTGGATTGAGTATCCATTCTTCGCCACCAAATTCCTTCACCTCTGCTAAGACATAACATTTTGTTTTGTCTAGATTAAGTCTGTTTATAAGAGAGTCAATCACCTCAGCAGCTGTGGAGTTTTTTCTGGCAGGAATTGGACAATAGATTGTTCCTTCTGAAATTGTCCCAGGATATATACGTAATGTATGTTCATTATCCTCAAAGCGTCGTCTTCCTCCATCATTTATATTCATATTGGATTGTGTCCCATCAGCATGGACAGTATGTGTCCCAGATCAAACCAACCATTTTCTTGGCAAAAGAACTGTAACATAAAAAATGGGAAACATTTAAAAGTCATACTGTATACTCTTTTCTGAGATTCAAGAATGGCTTAACAAAAAGCTTTTCATCATTTTTTAGAACAAAAATCCTAACTCTTACTAGGGGAAAAAAAAGGTAAAAGCAGTTTACTGAGACCACATATACAGTATTAAGTTTTACTGTCCAAATCAGGGCACTAATATAGTCACTTGCCAAAAACATAGAACAACAACTGAGAATTCAAAGAATACAAAGGAAAATTGTGTTTCCCTTGTTACTTCAAATATTTCTAAGGTACTTGGGATTATAACCAAATTCTTTATTTTCAGGAATCTTACTGAAGACCGAGTTAAGAGAATAATTAAACAAATTATTTACTTCGCACCCAAATCTCTTAAAGAAAATACAAAAATAAAGAATGGCAATGATGGAAAAAAGTTGTATGAAACTCACTATGAACAGTAAGATAACAATGACACCATCATAGAAATTAAAGTGATAACCAAGAAAACAATCTAAGGAAACTGCTGCAGAGACAGACTTATTTTCAAAGAACTTTGGGCTATGCCCCTTGCACTCCCACATGATGGGATAGATAGGAGCAAAAGAATGGCCCTGCCCCTGCACTAATACACAGTTACGAACTTCTCTTTGTTTTTCAATGCTACTGTTCCACCTCTTTACCTAATTTTTCTATTCTGCCTATATTTCCAATCTTCTCAATTCCAACATACACTCTTTTAGAAGGATGATATCAATGTTTACACTTCACCAACAAGGTAATTATTCCCTTCTCTACTCCTATTTTCATGTCATCTCTAGTCTCTCCCTTTCTATGGAGAAAATACGTTCCACATACATTTTGGGACTAACAAAATCTATTTCTTATCGCCTCCATTACTTAAATAGGCCTCATCCAAAAGGCACTCTTTACTACACACCTAAATCTGTTGTATCAATTCCCTGTGTTTATTTGTTTCACCCTTTAACATATAAAGACAACTTGCTACTTTTTACAAAACGGGATTGGGGATATAGCTCAGTAGTACAAGCACCTGCCTGGCAAGTACATATTCCTGAATTCGATTCCCCATACAAACAAGGGAGGGACTGAGGGAGGGACAGAGGAAAAGAGAGACAGATAGACAGACAAGACAGACAGAGAGACTGACTTTTAATTACTCACACTACCACATATTTGCAAAAATCCTCTAATCAAAAGCTTTACTTTTGGGCCAAGGATTTAGCTCAGCAGCGTAAGTGCCAGCCTGGCAAGCACATGCTCGTGAGTTCAATCTCCAGTCCCAAAACAAAATAACAATAATAATAATAATTTTAACGTATGTCAATTACCATGAAAAGCTTTTTAATATTTTGATACTATGTTGATTCCATAGAGTAAGGCTGAAAAAAACTTATCTTTGAATTCTTCCCTTAATGAACATTATCTTGTTAGTTTTTTAAAATTACAATAACTATCTTGACCCACATCACCATAAAAAAATTAACTTTATCCTTCATTTTTAAAATTTCTGTCATTTTCAGATCTACCTAATCTTTTTTCTGCTTGTTTAAATTTGATGAATATTTTAAAGGCTAGTATCCCTTACTTACCTATTTAGAAAATTCTAAATATGTAATTTAATATTTTTTAGGTGAACATTTTAATGTCATCCATACTAAATTACTCTTCTAATTGTCAGTCTTACTCTGTAAATTCTTTAGCATTATTAGATGGCTGCATGTGTTCGAGAATTTAGCTCTGCAGGTACATACCTAATGGAACTATTTTCTCATACAAACATTTACTGGGAATGTGCTTACTACCTGTTTAAAATAATGACACTACCATAATCATAGCTCTAAATATTAACTTTTTCTTTTTGAGACAGGGTCTTGCTGTGTAGCCCAGGCTGGTCTTTTTTTTTTTTTAATGGTATTAAATACATTTTTTTTTTTATTTTAAAGGGGGTAAAATTAAACACAACAAAACAGAACAAAATAGGACATAAGAAACCAATGTAAGAGATATAAATTGCTAGATGACCTGAGATCTTCACTATCTATCATATTGTCTCTGGTTTTCTTCCAAATAGTTGTTCATGTCTTCACATATAGAGAATTCATACAAAACATATAATATAAGTATAAAACTGATCCGAACAGAATGAGGAAGGCGATTTAGGTCTTCAAAACTAGACTACAGGGAAGTCACTAATGCCTCTCATAGAGTCTCTCATTCTCTTCAAAATAGCTGTCCATACTTTCATGTATACTGAAGTTCAACAAAACAAAACAGGCAAGGAGGGAGGGGTTGCTGGTTTTCCCTTGATCCAGGTCCCAGCATGGTGCAGGTCCCAGTAAATGCTGGTGGCTCCCTTCCTGGGTGGCCCTAGCCTGCATGCTCACAGCCACTCACCAGGGAAGGAGGGATTGCTTGGTTTCCCAGCACTCCAGGTACCAACTTGGTGCAGGTCCCAGTAAACACTGGTGGCTCCCATCCTGGACCGCCAGAGCCTGCCATGACCACAGCCGCTTACGGGAGGGAGGGGTTGCTTGGTGCTCCAGGTCCCAGCATGGTGTAGGTCTAGTGGTTTGCGTCCTGGGCTGCTGCAGCCTGACACACTCACAGCTGCTCACCATGGGGGCGAGGGGTTGCTTCAAGCTGTTTCTTTCTAATGCATTGACCATTTCACGGCCCAAGTTCTGAAATGGTCAATAGACCATAGAAAGACATCTTTTTAGGCTCTTGCTTGAAACCAACAGCATCAGGAAGCTGCCGGCCTTGATTCAGGGCCAGGCCCTGGCTGGTCTTAAAAAAAATTTTTTTTAAACAGGGTCTCTTATGTTGCCCAGACTAACCTCAAATGTAGCCTCAAAATCCTCCCACCTCAGCTTCCCAAGTAACTGGAATCACAGGTATGTGCCACTGTGCCCAGATTAAAATTAATAAAATTTAATATTATATAATCATTGTTCAATTTTCCCCAATTATCTCAGATATATTTTACAGTTATTCTAGTCAAATAGTAGATTCTGCTCCACAAGAACAGTAGGGCAATATCCAATAAGCTAGAAAGTTCCTAAATGTAAAGCTGTGTTGACATTTCAAACTGCTGAGCACATAGCGCTTCATATAAACTGCCTGCCTCTGACAGCAGTCAGCAGATGAACTGCTTCTTATAGCCAGGGGGCTGTGCCTGTGACTGGGCCCTATCACCCTAAGGGGTCATGCTAAATGACTACAATCTGTTGCCTAAAGTTGTATTAATATGGCAGCTCTAGAACTAAATTGAAAACCTCCTTTTTCACCAGAGGTCAACTTAGCCAAAACTTCCAACAAAGAGCCCAACTCCAATTACTTTCCCATTATCTCTAAGAAACCAAACCTCAGCTGTTTTAGCCGCAGGTTCCTGACAACAGCCTCATTCACCAAAGAGTTCTTGTCCCTTTTTAAAACATAAAAACTTTTTTTGGCCCAACTTCTATCAATTTGGCTTTCTTTTTTTGGTTGTTTTATCAGGTCTTGCTTTGTGTTTGACAAAAAGGGTTTCCCTAAAAACATAATTTACAAATCCATCTTTACATCAAGTCAGTCCCAGCTAAGCTGCTTGAAAAATCTGTATTTATACTTCTGAAGTATAAGAAAAGATCAGAATCATTCAGGGAATTTTTTAAAAATATACACTTCCAGACCTAATAATAACTCTGAGACAAGAAAACCTAGGCAATATATCTAGGCAATTCTGTGATTACTAATCTCAAAAATAGTATTAGCGAACCCACATGTTCTCTTAATCTTTTTCTTTTTTTGCAGAGGTGGGGATTGAGGGGGTATGGTGAGACAGGGTCTCACTTGCAGTTCAGGCTGAGACCCTGAACTCATTGGGTAGCCCAGGCTGGCCTCAAACTCTCGCAATCCTCGTGCAGAACTCTGCCTTTCCTCTGCTGGGATGCTAGGCATGCAGCACCATGCCTACCCTTCCTGATCTTTAACACACTATTAGCATTAGAGTAGTCAGCTACCCATTCCTGAAACTGCCCTCAAAGGACATGTATTTTTCTTATAACATTCCTGATATGCTGTTTCTTTTTGCTTACTCCTTAACTGTTTTTTTCTATTACCTCATTTTAAAAGTTAAAAATACTTCCCAGAGTTTTGGCCTCAGCCCAGTGTCCTTTGCCTGTTAATATGGATGCTTGAGCATTACAATAGCAAAACTAATCCACAAAGCTAAGAAGTTTGCCAACTCCTGTGCCACAAAAAGAAAGAGAGAAAGAAAGAAAGAAAGAAAGAGAAAAAAAAACAAAAGAAAAGGTAAAACTATATAACAGAGTAAAAAAATGAATAAAAGAATTCAAAAGAATGTGGGGGGCACCTACAACAGGTAGAAAAATGGAAAACACTTAAAAACCAAATGTGGGGGAGGCAAAAAAAAAAGTATCTGTAATTATGGCAAATAAATGTTCCAGTTAAAGATTTTCAGACCAAAAATTTTAATGTAACTATGCTATTAACAGATACACATCTATAACATGAGGACAGAAAGTATGAAAAAAGTAGGTAAGCATAGCCAGGGGTGGTGGTGCATACCTGTAATCCCAGTACTCAGGAGGCTGAGGCAGAAGGATCATTGCAAACTGTAGACCAGTTTGGGCTACAAAGCTCAAGGTCAGCCTAAACTACACAGCAAGACCCAGTCTCAAAAAAGACCAAAAAAAAAGTAGGTAAGTATATATGTCTATATATACACATATATATACATACACAAAATATAAACACTAGCTAAAATAAAGTTGCAAGATAGCAAACAATATAGAAAATAAGTAAAGTTAAACATCTCTTAAGTTCCTTTTATCCCTTATATGGTATTACCCTAGGATAAAGGTTTCTGGGTACCACTGTATCGAAGACAAGCAGAAAATAGAAAAAGACTATGAGAAGTTAAGATGAAATTGATACAGTGGCAAGTAAGCAGGCTAGGCAAGTGTTGACCAAAT